CATGTGAAAAAGTGTGTGTTGTTTGAAATTGGACTGCGCGGTCCAATATAATACGCAAAAATAAATATGTACATACATATGTATGTATTTTGTGCGTTTAAGGCGGCCTGCACAATGCAATATAATATGTGAAAACAAATGTTTGTTTTATATTTTAAATTATCAAATAATATTTACCTTTTCTTTCAGATGTTATTATCATTTTTATTCAATTATTCTTTCTTTTCAGATTTTATCACTATTTTTATTTAATTAATYTTTGCTTTCAGAGTAAATTCTATTTGTATTTAATATATTATATTTTCAGATAATATTAACTTTTTCTTTCAGATTTATTATGATTTTATATAATTAATCTTTCTTTATCTTTGGATATAACAAAATCAATGTAATTATTATTTATTTTCAGGGTTTAATAATCTTTATTTTATTCCAGGTATTTGTGTTTTATTTTCAGGTGTTAATAATATTTTTCTTTAATAAATCTTTTTCAAATATTAATTATTTTTTTACATTAAATATATTTTTATTTATATAAATTATAATAAATTTTATGTAAATATGTAAAACATAAAATAAAATAAAAATGTTTAACAATAAAAAGTTTTGTTTGAAATTTTAAGAAATATTAAAAAGAGGAAACAAAAAATTCAACCCTGCATCAGCTATTTAAAAAGAGAAAATGCAACCCTGCATCAATCGTCGATTGGGGATATTAGAGCAGAACAGATATACTTTTTTATATAACACTGCTGAATGAGCGCAACAGAGATGTATGATATGTATACGTACGTGTGAGGGGAAAAGGTGGGTAGAATCTTCATGTGGCCTATGGCAATCTACCTACTGATGCACTAGTTTTTTACCCGGTCATGGCTGGCACGGTAAACAGAATACCATATCTTTACTATGACTACATGTCTGCCTCGGGTATAATGCACTTTGTTATTTGTTTCAAAGTACATCTCTTCTTCTTCTTCTTCATAACTGGCGTAGACACCGCTTAGGCGATTATAGCCGAGTTAGCAACAGCGCGCCAGTCGTTTCTTCTTTTCGCTACGTGGCGCCAATTGGATATTCCAAGCGTAGTCAGGTCCTTCTCCACCTGGTCCTTCCAACGGAGTGGAGGTCTTTCTCTTCCTCTGCTTCCCCCGGCTGGTACAGCGCCGAATACTTTCAGAGCTGGAGTGTTTTCGTCCATTCGGACAACATGACCTAGCCAGTGTAGCCGTTGTCTTTTAATTCGCTGAACTATGTCAATGTCGCCATATATCTCGTACAGCTCATCGTTCCATCGAATACTCGCCGTGGCCTACGCGCAAAGGACCATAAATCTTTCGCAGAACTTTCCTCTCGAAAACTCGCAACGTCGACTCATCAGTTGTTGTCATCAGTACCCATTGATATCCTTCTAACGAGCGCAAGTAAAAAAGCAACCTCCATGGACTTTTACTCATTCCATATAATGATTCGTGAAAAAAAAAATAAAGTAATGAATAAAGTTTTAACAATAAGTGAAATTATTCAACAAGGAAGTCTCATAAATTTTGTGTGCGGAGTCCCATTTCTCGTGCCAAAACATTCAAATTGTTGGAAAAGGTGATAATTGTATGTAGCAAGCAAGTATTTTTGATAGGTACAAATTATTCAAAGAAGGTCGAAAGCGCCTTCACGACGAGCAACATCCAGGACGGCAATCAACATCAATGCTCAATAAAATAAAATACAAAAAATAAAGAGTTTGGTGCTTGAGAATCAATGTGGCATCGTTAGAATATCGGAAGGGTCAGTGAAAACGTTTTTGAAGCATCACTAAAAACAAACATCGCGTTGACGTCTGTGAAACAATGCTTTTCGACCGGAAATAGAAAATCAGTCGGCTAAATATCTTGAAAAAAGGTGATCCGAAGATGAAACCACCAATGTTCGATTACCGTGGTAAGGTGCACTCCGAATTCTTTCCAAGTGGCCAACTTTTAACAAGGATTACTACTTGAGTATTATTCATCGCAAAGCAATTTGTAAAAAGAAGTCGAAATTATGGGCCAACAACTCTCGGTTTTTGCAAACGGTAATGCACCGTCGCATGCATAGGTTCTTAGTGAGATTTTCGCCAAATTTTCAAACAATATCGGGTCGCAACCATAGTATTCGCCTGATTCAGCTCCGTGTGAGTTCAGGCTATTCAGCAAACTCAAACGATCCGTTTTAAGTTCATTGAAGGCGTTAGACGTGAATTTTGAGTGGGACGACATAAATTTTGAAGAATAAATAAAGAATTTTAAAATTATAAAGAAAATTTGACTATTTTTTGTTCATAGTAGACTGATGGGTTCAACGTTTGTTAGTTAAATGTTTTATATATATAAACGAAAAACGCACACATTTGTATACATACGAGTATAAATAACCAGAGTGTGTAGTTCTTTGCATATTAATCTACAATATTTCTAAAGATATGTAGCGTTAGTTAGAGGTAAATAAAAATTAAATTAAAATGTGTGTTGTTTTACAAGTGATTCTTTGTAACTAAGCACATCTTTGCTTGTAAAATAATAAAACTGTAATACGATATTAAGCGAATTAATATAATATTAAAAAAATATATATTAAAATAATATATAGTTTGTCCGAAAAATAATAATACTGATTTTCTTCGACCGCGACTGTACATCGGAGTGTGCGCGCACCGACTGGATTATTGTAGGGCGTACCTAACTAACGAACGAGCGGCTGGTCAGTTGTCTCCGAGCACCTGGAGAGTCAGGACAAACATTTTCGCTCGACATGTTTCTGTGAGTGATGCAAGCCGAAAATTCAGCGTTCATTAAATCAGGGGTACGTGATTATATGTGAAACTCGGTAAATCTGCGACAGAGACGTTTCATATGATGAAGCCGTCTTATTCAGATGTTGTTTTAGCAAGAAGTGGTGTCACCAGTCCTTTTTGGAGGACCGAGCGTCTCCTCGTTCAAAAAAGGGAAGAGTGAACAAATCCAAAGTGAAAACGATGTTTATTGTCTTTTTTGACATCAAAGGCATCGTCGAGTATGAATTTATTCCTGGACAATCCATCAACGCCAAGTTTTAGGGAGAAGTCCTCAAGAGAAGAGTTAACAGAATCCGAAAAGACATCGCAGCCGATTGGATGTTGCACCACGACAACGCCACGACTCACACCGACTTTTTTGTGAACAGCTACCTAACCAAACAAAAACAAAATGCAAGGAGAGACTGTACCAAGCAAAAAAGGGCCATCAGTTCAGACTGGTATTGATCGCTACATTAATGTGAAAAGGAAATCGAGTCTTACTAAACAGCGGTCAATACCAAAAAATTTCTACCATGTACGCCAAATGGTAAAAAGCCACAAATTTTTGATGGCAACAGATTTGCCTTACTGAGCAAAGAGCCTAACGATGATGTAAAAGGTACCACTATAGTCGTGATGGCCAAATTCCTTCCAATCTATTTGCGTAAGCGTGCGCTTGTTTCCAAAATAAGCAATATAATAAGCACAAATAATTTTCACATTGTGCACTTGAAAAAAAAATAATATATAGTAGATGAAACAAAATTTCAAACATATGTACACTGAAAAAAGTTTCATGCATGTCTTAAAATTTGTATCAAATAATAACAAGAATACTACTCTTACCCAGTTGTTGTCAGTAAGAGTATTCGGTAGGCTCTAACGATGTTAAAGAAGCATTAGGTGAAGGTGGCTTTAGCAATTAATCAGTAGTAAATATTTTTAACAGGAACAAAGTCCCACAACCAATGTTCAAAATAGAATTGATGCCAAATTTTAACCAACTAAAAAAAATGATTTACAATTTACAATTTAAAATATCAGCTCCACCGCAAACTCTCCGTTGAGAAACCACACTATGATTTTCAACCTATCCCACTGTATGACACAATACCACATGACCACGTGAGGAAGAATTCAACACTGAAATGTATATAAAGAAGCTGTGTCCAAATTCCAGCAAGCAAAATTCCCTTTGAAAAGCCCAAAGGCCATGAAGCCACCAACTGACTCCAACATGCTTCTAATAGMCATGGGTGGAAATTGGGCTTGAAGTGACGAGGAAAAGGCTAATCGTTTTGGAAATCACCTAGCTAACGTATTTCAACCTAGTTACGCAAAAAACAACTTTGAGCTGTCCAGCTTACCCAACATTATTGGAATAATAAAAGAACTTAACGCAAAAAAGTCGACAGGACATGATAATATTACCCCAAAAATGCTAATTGAGTTACAAAATATTGTCATAACGGTGCTCTTTCTCTTTAATGCAATTCTTAATATCGGATACTAATTCATTGAAAACGTCGCAGATTATATTGATAGATATACCTGGGAAAGACTTAACACAGCCGTTTTCATACAGACCAATCAGTATTCTACCCTGTCTTTCTAAAATATTTGTAAGAGTGTTACTATCGAAGAGGAGTCCTTTCCTCCATGAAAATAATAACATAGCACGACAGGATAAGTAAATAGAATTACTAACGAAATAGACGTTGTTCAAGTGTTTGTTAAGGTGTGGCAGGAGAGCCTTTTCTATAAGATTAAAAATATTCTACCTTTAGAATTGTATAAAACATCTTATTTAAAAAATAGTAAATTTATGGTAAAAGTGGGAAGTTCCATATCTGATCAAAGACAGATGAGGGCTGGTGTACTACAGAGCAGCATTTTACAACCAACTCTATACAGCTAATAACATATTGACTTCAACTTTTGTGGATGACACAGCTTTAGTGAGCCGTAACAAATACCACATTATAGCATCAAAAGTATCAGCGGAATATTTGAGTTCTGTCGAAGAATGTTTAGCCAACTGGCGTATAAATGTGAATGAACAAAAGTGTAAGCATGTTACATTTTCGCTTAGACCAAAAATGTGTCCGGCAGTAAAAATGAACATAATTTTAGTACCGCAAGCGAATGAAGTAACTTATCTTGGTATTCATCAAGATAGAAGACTTACGTTTTTCCACAAAAGGCTTCATTCTGTGTCATGCGTAGACGGAACAAAATTTCTTGTTTGTTATTTGGTACCCTAGGATATCTTCCAACAAATAGCGATCATTACCTAGAACTTTTTGAACAACGTATGGTCCTCGAAACTTAGGCTCAAGTTTTTTAGATTCACCTGTTCGATGGTTAGTTTTGAATGACTATTTGACGTTTATCGGCTTTAAAAATTAAAAGTTTTCTGAATGCGTCAGATATGGCTTATACGTAGGAATTTCCCTGTTTACTCTGTATAAATGGACACATATGGTCCAGATGAATACGATGAAACGGAATTGGCTTGATAGAATCAAAATCCGTAATAACTTCGGTTTAGCTGGGCGTTGTTTCCGATAACAGCACTTAATACATGCTTCTATATAGTTTTTAACGTACTTTCTCATTTCTAGCGCTGTATGTCCTGCTTGGTCATGGCAGACCTCTACAATGTGCCAGCCTTTAGAGCTGTATTATTTGGCATTSCATGTAAGCGACTACTTTGACGATGTAAAATATTTTCGAAACTGTTGGCGAAAAGTCCACGGTATTCATACCAGGGATAATGGGATGCCAAACTTATTCAAGTGTGAGAGCGCTCCAAAATAAGCGTTTTTTATAACATTTTCCATTATGGCCAGATTGAACAAAATAAAAGTTTTTAGGCATTGAAATTAAAWCAACCAACATTTATTACGATTGCAAGATATTATATATTGGACTTTTAATCTATGGCGAAACTACTTAATTCTTTTGTTATGATTTTGTGGTATATTAAAACAACTGACTTTCGATATTTCAATATTTAATAAGGTGAATTAAGCCTGTTAGTTCTAAATTAATAAGTGTTTTTAATCATTTGTAATAGAAAATTAATTCTATTATGCATCAAATTACAAAATATATATTAAAATTTCGCATTTTCTTTGATTTTCATTTGGTGCGTTCACAACCTGCCTTAAAGCATCGTAAAGTCGTAAAATTTTAAATTTTTACAATTGTTTAAATAAAAATTAGGGTTTTCACATGTATCTTAAAGTTATAATTTATAACGATTCGAAAACATAGTATTGAGAATTGTAAATGTGTAAACTCTTTTTTGTATGTAATCCAACAACAATTTTTTTTAAACAAGTGTAAAAAGACAGGTTGTGAATACCCCAATTATTTAAAATTTTTATTAGCGATCTTTAACGGCGGCAATAAATTCCTCCGTTCACATATATTTTTGGTATAATTTCAATCTGACCGTTCCAGTCATTCCAATTGCAAAACATCAAAACCTACTCAATCCAGTCAACTGTCAAAGTTCGGTAGGTTTTGACGTTTAGCAATTGCTCTCTCACTTCCATTGAGAGAGGAGTTGGGGATCTCATTATCTCTGATTCATACATTATGTTTTCAAAATGTTCGTTTTCGCTTTTATTCAAACGTTCAATGAAATTAATTTGACGTATTTGTTGAACACGATATCCATCGCTTTCTATTAGAAATTGCTTATATGAAACACATAGTACATCTTTACCGAGAAGTACATTTTTAGAAATAAGGTCAACATTGACTACCAGCATGTTCGATTTTATTATCATAAATTTTTAGCATTGTATTTATTTCACTATCCGGGATTTAATTTACTTTCACGTTTTTCTTTTCAGGACACTCGTCTGTTTTATGTGTCGTACAATGGCATTTAGTACACCTTGGTTTTTTCTGTAGTTCAGGACAATTAATCGCGTAATGACTGAAATTAGCACAATTGTAAGCTTTTATCTCTCTGAACGAACATTGAATGCTGTTATTTATTGACAATGGAACACTTTTCGAATTTAGAGTTTTGAAGTTTCACTGCGGATGACCTGTTTCTCGGTTTGAATCACCAGTTGGTATCATTATACACACTATAACTCATGATATCTTTTAATAAGTCTTGGTACCAATTGTGTTGGGGCAGAAGTTATTTGTGATGGAAATTGGCGGTCATCACTTTTTAATCGATCACTATTGCCATTATCGTCAGGAATGACAAATAGTTAATGTTATTCATATTTCCTTTATGAAGCCTTTTTTTTAACAAAACGAGAATTCACTATGTATATTAAGTTTAAGCAAAAAAAATGTAAATCCTTTCTTTCTTTCTTATTCTTAATGATAGAGCAGAACAATTGAATGATTACGGGATAGAGCGGTTTTTATATATCCTTAATATGGAGGATGGAGTCATGTGCAGAAATTCACGCAAGTGAGGAAAGTTCTCTGATCGCCATTCACTTGGGAGTGGCCAGAAACTCAAGCAGCGCACGACTTTTGGTCTTTGATCAAGTATCCTCCGAGTAGCCTAAGAACATCCCTAAACCGGGTTGTGCGCTCTGTTTGGGACTCGACACGTAAAAAACAATACCAATGAAAACTAATCGAAAGCCTCGGATGAGATACCCTAGTTTTAGTGACGACCATTACAAACGAAATAAGGATTATGATTTGAGGTCATGCACCTGGTATGTCCGGTCCCTTAATTGGGAAGGAGCTGCAGCCCAGCTGATTGATGTCCTCGTTAGAATGAATGCTGATATCACCGCCGTCCAAGAAATGCGATGGGCGGGACAAGGACTGAGGCGAGTAGGTCCATATGACAGAGAGAGGCGCCGTCGCTGAGTACTGTCATTCACTCCGGTGAATGAACGTCAAGCCACAATCCGCATCAAAGCGAAGTTCTTCAACATATCGCTGATTTGCTCCCACGSCCCGACAGAACAGAAAGACGATGTGACCAAAGAGAGCTACCAGCACCTATGAGAGTTACCCACCGTACGATATCAAAATTGTGCTTCGCGACTTTAAAGTCGGGGTATGATTATTGGCTTGCACTCCTGCTCTCTGAGAGCATTCGTCAAAAAATCGGTAGAAGGGAACTGTGGGACGGCATTTCAAAGTCCTTACGTAAAGCTGCAATCTAAACCATTGGTTTTCGGAAAATGCAAAAGAAGAGCGTTGAAGAGGGAAGCGAGTCGCATTTGCAGGCAGAAAAAAAAGAGGCCTAAATGCGTGAGTATGAAGAGCTTGAGAAGCTGGCCGACAGGGGTAGTGCTTAAAAATTCTAAACAAATTCGGCAACTAACAAAAGGTTTCACGACCAGAGCCTACTCTTGCCTGCTGAATGGCAGTGAAAGTATAGCGGAAGGAGAGGCGAACCCGATTCCCCAATCGATGACGATAGCGGCGACGAACTAAACAGGAGCATTCATCAGCTTCTTTATAAAATATGGTCGGACGAAAGCATGTCCAACGATTGGAATTTAAGTGTACTCTGCGCAATCCACAAAAGAAGGGTCCCACAATTTCTGCCAACAACCGTAAGATAAGCCTTCTAAACAACGCGTATAAAGTTCTATCGAGCGTATTGTGTGAAAGATTAAAGCCGACCGTCAACAAACAAACCAAACGAGGTATCAGGCAAGGCGACTGCCTATTGTGCGACTTCTTCAATCTGTTGTTGGAGAAAATAATTCGAGCTGCAGAACTCAATCGAGCAGGTACAATCTTTTATAAGAGTATGCAGCTGCTGGTGAGTGCCGATGATATCATCGGTTCAAACCCGCGATGTTAGTTCCGCTTTCTCATGACTGGACAAGGAGCAAAGCAAGTGGGTCTGCCAGTGAACGAGAGCAAGACGAAATATCTCCTGCCATCAAACAAACAAACTTGGCTCTCACGTCACTGTTGACAATCATAAGTTTGAAGTCGTAGATAACTTCACCTCTCTTTTAACCTGTGTAAATACCACCAACAATGTCAGCCTCGAAATCCACTGCTAGATAACACTTGCCAACAGGTACTYCATCGGACTGAGCAGGCAATTGAGAAGTAAAGTCCTGTCTCGACGAACAAAAACCATATTCTATAAGTCACTCATTATTCCCTTCTGCTATATGGTGCAGAGGCTTGGACGATGACAACAACCGATGAGTCGACATTGCGAGTTTTCGAGAGAAAGGTTTTGCGAAGGGTTTATGCTCTCGCATCCAGTTGCTACAAGACGACTATGTCCGGATAGCTTAGAGCATTAGAGTCAACATACGATAAATCGATGTTTTGGAGATATTCGATTCCATTTCCATGAATTTTAATGATAATTTTAGCTGATTTTGATGAATTCACTCACAGTTTCGATGGAATTTACGGTGATCACGGATTTTTATTGGCCCACATGTTGACCGCCATTTATTTACGACCACTTTGAAAATGTTGAAACCACTCGTGTACTTCGCTTCGAAATAGCCAATCACCACCATAAACTTGTTTCACCAATTGAAATGTTTCGTTAAAAGTTTTACCAATTTTAAAACAAAATTTAMTATCGGCTCTTTGTTCGAAGTACATTTTCGCACCGATAATACAAACATACACTTAAAATGCAATAACAGAAAACGTGTATTATTGGGAGGTGCACTCGTTTCTATTAGATGATATCACCACAAAAAATTATTAGCGGATTTCACCAAAATTTAACATGGAGGGGCATTGAGTATTTTCATGCTTCATGTAAACAAATTTGAAAGAATCATTCGCATAATGTTTTTAAATTTGTTTACACACATCTTTGTTTGTAAGTATATACACCCATTGTTTCATACAAAATCTTCTTTGTCGCGAACAGCCAATGGACGAACTTCTCGACGACAAAGCGCCACAATATTGAGTTGTTGGTAGAAGGTCCAAGCTGTGGCGAAAAAAATTCACGATTCGACGCCGATTATCACCGCTTTTCTTGCCCCWATAATAGCTTCGCCATTAAGCCAGCATAAATATGTATTTTTATGTGTGAGCTTGCATACATTTCGACGTAGATTATTGCGAGTCACGTAAAGATATTTCAGAATTGCGAAATATTTTTTACATTCCTTGACAAATACAGTCAATCCCGGTTATGTGCCACAATCRAAAATATGTACAGATTTTTGTGGGTTGTTAAAACAAAATGTAATATGCCACATAAGAGAGTGCGGATACTTAAGCGAGTCGTACTTAAAACAATAATTTCTATGTATTTAAAAATATGTACAAAGCTTGATATGCAAGATTTAGGCGGTTAAGAGGGATGATTTTTATTTAAGTGGAGTACTACTTAGCCGAGATTGACTTAACCAAAAATCAGAGGAATATGGAATATTTTCTTTGAAACATTTCTTGACCAGAAAATCGACAAATAAACTTTGTTGTCAATTTTATTGTAATATTATTTACGGGGTTGTTAATTTTTCCTTCCCATACATTTCAGAGATATATTCAATTTATGATTTTTATGATGGTAAAGCTCGAACGCACCCTACATGATTTGTTTCTTGAACTGTGTTCTTAGGTATGTAAGTATATAAAGTCAGGAGAGTAC